CTTCAAAACTGCCAAGAGAAATAACTTTATACTTGTACAGCATTATCTTATAAGCCAAGCAAGTCTTTTTCTGTAAAACTGAGCTTCAGACATTGGCATTTGATCATGAATATGAGCCAATTGGGAGCGTGTTTGTAAAAGCTCAAAAAACGCAACACATACATGTTTAATCGTTTTTCTCAAAATCGGCTAGAACAATTTCCTTGATTTTGAAATACATTATTAGCAATATCCTACAGTTGAACGCAGTACTTTTGGTTTTTCTAGGTGCCATCGAAATTGGCCGGAAATTTTTTTTTTCTACCATAAAACTGCTATTTTTGCAGTAAATAAAAAATCAATTCATGTTTGAAAATTTTCCATCTAAGTACAACATTGCCTGTTTATTTTATGAAAATCGAGTTAGATTAAGTTGGTCAAACGGCCGTTTAAAAATGTTAGGTGCGCGGGAGTGCCAACCACTATCAAACACCTTAAAATAGCCTTGAAAATTCCCTGAGTTGACACTAACCCTGTATTCCTATAGGACCTAAGGTTTAAACCCTTCTKAGGATACAGAAAAAACGTAAATTTTTAGGGCTATTGTACTTACATAGTACATACAGTAAATGAATCTGCTGTCAAATAAAATAGCGGTTAYTCGCTTTAAATTTAAAAATGGAGTATTTTGTTAGACAACGTATCATCCATTAGACCAATCTCCCTCATAAGTATCGGGTATGTACAAAAGACGACGGTTGTTCTGCCGGTCGTAGCAGACTCGTTTCATCCTTTAGTAGAATAAAACATCGACAATTATGAAATAAAACATCGACATTATGAAATGGCCAGGAAGACGAATGCAACAAGGATCCCAAGGACTGTTCCATCACGTGTTCCATCACGTGTTCCATCACGTGTTCCTTCACTGGAGGAGTGAGGAAGAACTACTTCTGTATTTGTAGGTAAGACCGCTGGATTTGTATGGACAACGTCTGTGCCTGAAAGCGCAGAAACACAGACATGCAGTCGTACTTGATAGCTTGACAATGGTAAAGATTTTCACCATACAACAAATTCAACAAGAAAATATGATACGTTCAAAGGTGGATTGTGCGTTAGTCGTACTGCACAWTTGCTTGGACAATTCCACGTCAAATATTTCAAGACTGCAGCCATTGGAAAAAGTGTTAAAAAGTAGTAGAGAGAGTGCAGAGTGGTTTTTTGCCAGACATACCATGAATTTTGAAAAGACACTTTTCCATAAGCATAAGCATCCGAAATAACTCTTGGAAAAGTTCTACTTCCAAGTAAAGTCATTTGTATATGAAAAGCGCTAATGCAAAAAGAAACAAAAAGAAATAACGAACGAAAAAAAAAAACAACAGAACACGAACAAAAACAAACAAATAAACAAAACAACAAGAACAAAAATCCAAAACTAGAAGCAGCAAATAGAATACAACGAAATGAAATTGAAATTTTACCTYTGCTTGCAYTTGTCGAGCAGAAAGTTACTGTAAACGGGACTTTTGATGAATACTCGCTATAAGCGGCTCCCTGATGTACAGCAAGGCAAGGTTATGCATGTTGAATTGGTTGAATCATTTACTAGAGATTTACACAGCATCGGGTATACATACAAATCCGRCAATGGATAAATGAATGGAGATGTAACTTAATACATGTATGAATGAAACAATGAAGAGAAGAGATGACTCACTCCGCTTTTGTGTTTAAAGATCGTCCGCAGTGCAATCCAGAGCTTGGAGCCATTCTTGAAAGGTTTATAGCCGTGGAGTACTGTATTTCCACTACCAAGCATGATAGAGGAGAATGTACCAGGAGCGCGGAACGACATTAACAAATAGTCTTTTGAGATGAAGACAAAGATCTCATATGATCTGCAGAGRGTAATTAATTACATGTTAGCCATTTTGAAATCATTGAATTTGGTTTTGCATAGATAGTCATAAACACCAAGTCAAGACTTTATAGACGTATAATATATATCATCATGACACCTTTGTTTGTATCATTAGCCTTCGCACATTCTCACATTATACTAACAATTGGAAGTTGGAATATCTGACAAGAAACTATAAGTTTTGCGATGGAACCTACTCTATTGTRTCATTATAGTCCACTGCATTTCGGTCGACAAAGAGTTGCGGACCACACCCACTCAACGTGAAGTGAGGAGGAGGAGCTTTAAAACAAACACAAAGAAAGRTAATTGAAAGATACCATCTTCGAGAGAGTTTCTGGGAGTGAGAAACGACAGATGATTAGGCCTGGGTTCCACAGGATACAAAGATTATTCAAGAAATACAAAGACATATATCAAGAAAGAWACCTCAATTCACCAATGAAAATGCTCACCTAACTTACAACTAACACCAAGGGCGTTGTTATGGTTACAAACATACATGGCGTCCCCAATCTCTGGATAGTTACACTTCAGAATAGAGTCCTCTGATCCATTACATTTCACCTTATAGAGCCAAACTATGTCGAGTTTTGGCCTGTTTTTGTAATAAACGTACCTCTGGTCTTTGTTTTCCCCAGAATACCCAAGAATGCGGCAGATAACATCATTAGTAGAATCGGACAATTTAAAGTCAYATATTGTTCCCCAGACGCCATGATACCTTAGCTCAACTTGCCCAGTGTTAGGGGTACGTCCACCAGTTAATCGTAGTTCTACTGGCTGTGAAGCCGCTATATAACAACAACAGAAAGAATCATTTTCACGGTTTGCATATTTTCTTCAGTACCACTTCACGATTTTAGGCCAACCCTCCCATGTGGGATAAACGCATTGCTCTTATCTGGAATGTTTTGGCACTACAGAAAATTCAAGTCAAATGATTTTAAAAACCGGAAAAAAACTTAGAATTTATATCAATGATGTTGATAAACTTATTAAGTAGTTATTCTACATAATATACAGTAACACTGGGCCAATGATACTAAAAGATCTCAATTCTCTATCAGGTATCAAATATT